GCGGGAGCTGGCCAGGGGAGCTATGCAGGGCTCCACCAGGCGCGCGCGGGCACGCTCGCGAGCCCCCCCCCCTCCCTCTCCCTTCCCTGCTGCTGCGTGGCTCTGTACGCGCATTGCTTGGCCCTGCCGGCTTGTTCCGTCTGGCATCGGGGTGCCGCGGTCGGCCTTCGGGGGGGAATCCGCGGGCTTCGGCCACATCGAGGTCCCGGGAGGGCCCGGCAACCCTCACGCACTGGGTTGGCTCTGGTGCGCAGGGATACGCACCGTGCTCATGTTTGCAAGCTTCTCGCGAGCCTTTTTGGTGAGCCCCAGACACTTGGCGGCAGGTTGCTTGGGGTTTTGGGGGGGCAATCTTGCCACGTCCTCTTTCTTCGCCACCTGCCTCTACCTCCTCCTCCGCCTTCTCCCGCTGCTCCTCCTCCTCCTCCTCCCCTTTTCTTTGCCAGTCCTCCTCCGTGGGGCTATCATGCTGCCCTCTCGGGGCGCATCGAGGTGCAAGGATTATTAATCGCTTCGCTTATTCCGCCGGCCCTCGAGCGCTCTATGGGGCCACTTTGAAGCCTCTTGGGGGCCTCTTTGGGGCCTCCTAGGGGCCTCTTGGGGGCCTCTTGGGGGTCTCTTGAGGCTCCTTGGCGGCGTCTTGGGGCCCCCTTGGGCCTCTTGGGGGGCTCTTGGGGGCCTCTTGGGGGCCTCTTGGGGCGGGGTAGTCGAGTGCCCCCCCCCCTCGGAGGCCACAATCCTCGTGAGGGGTGTCGAAAAAAGGCCCTCAAAACCATCTCTGGGTAGACCTTCCCGGGCTGCGGTCGGGGTACTTTTCGCCAGGGGACCCCCAGGGGCCGCCACGCGCGCGCGAACTAGAAGAATTGTTAACCAGTTTCCGGAGATCTTAGCACGCCTCTGGCCCGTTGGGCCGGCGAATTTGGGGCCCCGTTGTGCAGCCTTGGATTATCCTGGGCTATCTTGGGGCCATCTTGGGCGAAACTGGGGCCCTCGTGGGCACTCTTGGGGTGATCCTGGGCCTTCTAGGGGTTTTCCTTTGGTATCTTGAAGCCCGTTGGGGGGATCTTTGGCTACTCGCTGTTCTTCTGGAGACGTACTCAGCCGAGACGTTTGTTATCTCGAGCATTTGCGCAATCTCTCAAGATCTCATCAATTTTGACAGGAAATTGTTTCGAGGCGCCCCTGTGGCCTCTTCGGGCCACCTGGGGCCACCTTGAAGCCACTTAGGAAGACATGGAGGAAACGGGGGATGATGAGGGAGGAGAAAGAGAAGAGGAGGATGAGGATGAGGAGGAGGAGGAGGAGGACCAGTGTAAACCCAAAAGTCATCACCGATGCTGGACTTCGCCCTCCCTCCAAGCTCCCTCTTCATAGGCCCCTACAACGGTTGATTTCCATTGAAGGACCTGCCTCGTTGGAAGGCAACCGTTTGAAGATCCTGAAGCATGCCAAAACATTGTTCTCGGGATTTCAACGCCACTGAACTGCCACGTTTGGGACTTCAACACCGCGAGCCAGAATAACTTTTGCACCCGCATCATCCTGAACCTTCTCCAGCACACCACTTCTGGTACGTTGATCATGGGAACCAGTGCAGCTCTTGCAAATTTCTATAACGAATGTACGCGGCGCTAAAGCGAGAACCACACTTTGAATAGGAACTGACCCCAATCCGTAAAACTCTCGCAAATTGTTGCAACGAGTTTGCGCGGCGCTAAAACGAGAGCCACATTTTGAAAAAGAGCCGCCCTCAATCCGTGAAACTCGTGTTTATCTTTTTGGTAATTAGCCTGGCGAAGGACCCAACCATATGCAACTGTGAATACCGCAAGTGTGAATATCGTTTTCGGCGGCGCTACCTCTGGGTAGTGGAGACGCATGCGAACACCCCCACTGGGGCCTTCGGTGGAGCTCCCTCTGGGGCTACGAAACGCTGCCCTGGGTGGGGGAACCGCATGCAGGCAGCCCCACTGGGGCCTTCGGTGGAGCTCCCTGTGAGGCTACGAAACGCTGCCCTGGGTGGGGGAACCGCATGCGGGCACCCCCACTGGGGCCTACGGTGGAGCTCCCTCTGGGGCTACGAAACGCTGCCCTGGGTGGGGGAACCGCATGAGGGCACCCCACTGGGGCCTTCGGTGGAGCTCCCTATGGGGCTACGAAACGCTGCCCTGGGTGGGGGAACCGCATGTGGACACCCCCACTGGGGCCTTCGGTGGAGCTCCCTATGGGGCTACGAAACGCTGCCCTGGGTGGGGGAACCGCATGTGGACACCCCCACTGGGGCCTTCGGTGGAGCTCCCTCTGGGGCCACGAAACGCTGCCCTGGGTGGGGGAACCGCATGTGGACACCCCCACTGGGGCCTTCGGTGGAGCTCCCTATGGGGCTACGAAACGCTGCCCTGGGTGGGGGAACCGCATGTGGACACCCCCACTGGGGCCTTCGGTGGAGCTCCCTATGGGGCTACGAAACGCTGCCCTGGGTGGGGGAACCGCATGCGGACACCCCCACTGGGGCCTTCGGTGGAGCTCCCTATGGGGCTACGAAACGCTGCCCTGGGTGGGGGAACCGCATGTGGACACCCCCACTGGGGCCTTCGGTGGAGCTCCCTCTGGGGCTACGAAACGCTGCCCTGGGTGGGGGAACCGCATGTGGACACCCCCACTGGGGCCTTCGGTGGAGCTCCCTATGGGGCTACGAAACGCTGCCCTGGGTGGGGGAACCGCATGTGGACACCCCCACTGGGGCCTTCGGTGGAGCTCCCTATGGGGCCACGAAACGCTGCCCTGGGTGGGGAACCGCATACACCCCCACTGGGGCCTTCGGTGGAGCTCCCTATGGGGCTACGAAACGCTGCCCTGGGTGGGGGAACCGCATGTGGACACCCCCCACTGGGGCCTTCGGTGGAGCTCCCTATGGGGCTACGAAACGCTGCCCTGGGCTGGGGTTCGGTGGACTCCCTGGGGCCTTCGGTGGAGCTCCCTATGGGGCTACGAAACGCTGCCCTGGGTGGGGGAACCGCATGTGGACACCCCCTCTGGGGCCTTCGGTGGAGCTCCCTCTGGGGCTACGAAACGCTGCCCTGGGTGGGGGAACCGCATGTGGACACCCCCACTGAAGCTCCCCCTCTGGGGCTACGAAACGCTGCCCTGGGGGGGGAACCGCATGTGAACACCCCCACTGGGGCCTTCGGTGGAGCTCCCTATGGGGCCACGAAACGCTGCCCTGGGTGGGGGAACCGCATGTGGACACCCCCACTGGGGCCTTCGGTGGAGCTCCCTATGGGGCCACGAAACGCTGCCCTGGGTGGGGGAACCGCATGTGGACACCCCCACTGGGGCCTTCGGTGGAGCTCCCTATGGGGCCACGAAACGCTGCCCTGGGTGGGGGAACCGCATGTGGACACCCCCACTGGGGCCTTCGGTGGAGCTCCCTATGGGGCTACGAAACGCTGCCCTGGGTGGGGGAACCGCATGTGGACACCCCCACTGGGGCCTTCGGTGGAGCTCCCTATGGGGCCACGAAACGCTGCCCTGGGTGGGGGAACCGCATGTGGACACCCCCACTGGGGCCTTCGGTGGAGCTCCCTATGGGGCTGCGAAACGCTGCCCTGGGTGGGGGAACCGCATGTGGACACCCCCACTGGGGCCTTCGGTGGAGCTCCCCATGGGGCTACGAAACGCGTGAGAGGTGTGCCGAGAGCAGAGGCAAGGAGGAGGGGGAGGGGCAGCGGGAGGAGTGGACGCGGGGCGCTGTCTCTTCAAAACGAGGACCCAACACCACAGGATGGTTGGGAAAAACGAATGTGCGCGGCACTAAGGCGAGAACCACATTTTGAAAACCACCCGCCTTCAATTCGTGACGCCCTTGCAATTTCTTGCAACGAATGTGCGCGGCGCTAAGGCGAGAGCCACATTTTGAAAACGGCCCGGCCTCAATTCGTGAAATTTTTGCAACTGTCTTTTAACGTATGTGCGCGGCGCTAGAGCGCGAGCCACATTTTGAAAACCACCCGCCCCCAATCCGAGAAACTCTTGCAAATGTCAAAAATGAATGTACACGGCGCTAAAGCGAGAGTCACATTTTGAAAACGACCCGCCCTCAATCCCTGAAGCTCTTGCAAATGTTGAAAACGAATGTGCGCGGCGCTAAAACGAGAGCCACATTTTGAAAACGACCCGCCCTCAATCCCTGAAGCTCTTGCGAATGTTGAACACGAATGTGCGTGGCTCTCAGGCGAGAGCCGCATTTTGAAAACCACCCGCCCTCAATCCGTGAAACTATTGCAAATTGTTGAAACGAATGTGCGCGGCGCTGAAGCGAGAACCACATTTTTAAAATCACCCGCCCTCAATGAGTGAAGCTCTTTCAAGTTTCTAAATCGAATGTGCGCGGCGCTGAGGCGAGCGCAACATTTTGAAAACCACCCGCCCTCCATCTGTGAATTTGTTGTCACTTTTTACGCTTCAGAGTCCTAAAAGGTGAGGAAGTCTCAAGTGAAACGCCCGGCCCGCCCTAAGAGGAGGAGGAGGAGGAGGAGGAGGAGCGAGCGTCCCAGGGAGGAGGAGGAGAAGGAGGAGGAGGAGGAGGAGTTGGAGGGAGGGAGGAGGCGCTCCTCCCTCCCTCCTCCCTCCCTCCCTCCCTCCGGCCCTCCTCTTCTTCCACCTCCTCCTTCTCCTCCTGCTCCTCCTCCTCCTCCTCCTCCTCCTCCTCTTCTTCGTCGTCCTCGTCCTCGTCCTCGTCCTCATCCTCCTCCTTTTCCTCCTCCTCCTCCCCCTTCCCTCTCTTCCTCCCATCCTCCTCGCTGTCTCGCCCCGCCCAAATCGTCGCCGCCGCCGCCGCTGCCGCAGCCGCCGCTGTCGTCATCGCCGTTGCGGACGTCAACGCCGTCGCAGCTGCCGCTGACGTCGCCGCCGCCGTCGCCGCCGTGGCCGCCGCCGCCGCCGTCGCCGTCGATGTCGTCGCCGTCTCCGTCGCCTTGCTGCCAAGTCTGGGCGGGCGCCTCCAGGGAAGAGGCGGCTGAGGCCGTGCCTCTCCTCGACGACGAGGCGGACGCCGCCGCTAGAGACCGCGGCACCGACGGCGTCGGGGAGCTCCTGGGAGCTGCTGCGTTGAACCTGTCGCGCGGGCGCCGGCGACGACGACGGCAGCAGCGGCGACGACGGGGATGGCGACTCCACGACGGCCGGCGACCGCGACGAGGCCGCCGCCAGGGACCGGGGCACGGGCGGCGCTGGGGGACCCCCCTGGGCGCTGCTGCTGCTATGAGCCTGTGGCGCGCGTGAAGTTTTACCCCCGGCCCTCGAGCATCGAAGACCGAGGCTGGCGGACGTTTTCGGGAGGGCGTTGGACGAACGCGATCCTTTTCCTGGGGAGCGAGGGGGGGAACCAGGGGAGGGAGTGCGGGACGGACATGGGAAGAAGGATGAGGACGAGGACGAGGACGAGGACGAGGACGAGGATCAGGATGAGGACGAGGACGAGGACGAGGACGAGGATGAGGATGAGGATGAGGATGAGGATGAGGATGAGGATGAGGATGATGATGATGATGATGATGATGATGATGATGATGATGATGATGATGATGATGATGATGATGATGATGATGATGATGATGATGTAATGATGATGATGATTATGATGATGATGATTATAATGATGATGATGCTGCTGATGATGATGATGCTGATGATGATGAGGAGGAGGAGGAGGAGAATGATGAAGAGGAGGAGGAAGAAGAGGAGGAGGAGGAGGTCGAGCGCGCCCAGAAGGTTTCATCCACGAGTCACGAGCCTACCGCCGAGCCCAAATTGATGTGTGGGCTCCTATGCGTGGGGGGGGGGGGGCGAAGCGCAGATCGGGCAGTTGAGGGCCGAACGCGCACTCACTCTCAAATCGAGAGCCGAGGCAATGGGCATAGAAATGCGCAGCAACAAAACTGAAATTGACACCTCCATCCTCTTGAGGACAGATTCCAAAGCGCAGCCAGACATTAGCACGAACGGGTCTAGAAAAAGCGGCCTGCGCCATGGGCAACGCAGGCCTGCAGTGCAGGACATAGCGCGACAAGGAGCCATTGCAAGCACAACCCCGCATGCACGAGCCAGCAGGGCGAGACATCCGAGACGAGGTCGCCCAGCCTCCGGGCCGAGTTCCGATTGCAGCTGAAAGCCCACGAGAGCGGCAGCTTGCGTAGAGCATCCCCCCCCCAATCCGCCAGCCCGACTCCCCCCCCAGGAAAAATCCCCTTGGTGATCCTGCGAAGTTCGGAGCACCGGATGGCGAGAGCAGCTGGGCACGAAATGCATCGGGCAGACTTTCCCTGCCGCCTCGGGCGGCCTGCTCCTGGGCCACCTGGGTACGCAGCAAGGCATTCAGCGCCAGCGGGCGCCTTCTTCGTGTCACCGGAAAAACCCTGCGCAGTGGAAGAGAAAGAGAGAGAACGAGAGAGAGAGAGAGAGACAAACAAAAAACATGGCAGATGGAGGGATGATGAGGAGGAGGACGAGGAGGAGGATGAGGAGAAAAAGAGGAGGAGGAGGAGGAGGAGGAGGAGGAGAAGGAGGAGGAGGAGGAGGACGAACAGGAGGAGGAGGAGGCCAGGCCAGCCGCGCGAGAGACCCAAAGTCGGTGATGGCCTCTTGTAAGGGGCTAAGCTGCTGGGCCCGCGGTGGCACTGAGATAAAACTGGCCCACATACAAGCAGCATTGCACAGGGCCCCGCACCAAAAAATCAGGCCCGCCCCACTTTCCCACCGCCACCCACCCGTCCCAAGTTGAAACCGAACTGGCGACCCCCCAGACAAACGCAGGCAGATGGCGCTCCTCTATGGCCAGGCTCCTCAGCGTTTCGAAGAACTGCGCCTTGCAGCTAAGAGCTGGCAGCACACGGGTGCGATAGAGGAACCAGTTCCTGGCGATATCAGATGAAGAATCACTGGCCTGCCTAACGCGCTGCTGAAGCTTAAACCACGGTCCTTCTCACTGTTCCCTAGATGTGATAGGCGGGCCGAAAGGCGCGCCTGACTGTTTTAATGGAAGAACAATACCAACACCGTGCCACGCCTCTACGCTGCCAGCCAAGAACTTCCGCGCCTGCCTTTCGACATCGGACGAAAGAGGCCCCTATGAGCGGCGCGACCTTGCATTTCTTATCGGCGAGGGCGGGGGAGGCAAACCTCGAGGCGGGCTCGAATATCCGTCCGAGCCTGCGAAGGCTCATTCTGTTGAGCACCGCAGCGCCTACGCCATCAGCGCACGCCCTTGGCAGTCCGTGCCGCGGGGTCCTCAGCGTCGTTTCCATGTCGGCAGGGTTTGGGCAACTGCGAACAATGACCTGCTAAGCGGGCGTCCCTGAACAAACTCCCGCCAAAACAAAGAAATGAAGGAGGATCGGTCCCGATGTAGGAAGCCAATTTCGATTCACATGGCAAACATACACTATAGCACTGATCGTTCCAGACGGAAGCGATAAGAAACCGCAATGCAAACATCGGCCATGCCAGAGAGACGCTCGGGAACGCCTGGGAGACGGCAACAGCTGGAAACATCGGCAACGATTTGCCCTGTCTGGTGCTGTGCTGATGGGGGGTCCTCGAAATCGCTCCAAGCCTGGCCTGCGAGCCTAACTCGACAACGTCCTCAAGGAAATGCTCTCTCTTCATGATTCCATTCGTTCTGTGCATCAGGGCACCTTTGACAAATCGCGGCAGACAGAGGACAATTAATGGCTGCGACAACGCGCTGGTTGCGCGTGTTTTCAAGCGCAAGGGGTCGGGTCACCCCGGCTGAACGCGCGAGCATTTTGGCGCCGCCATCTTCTGGCTTGCCCCCTTTGGCCACGAAAGCGGCGGGCCACTCGAAGGGCTGACGGGGGGCGCTTCCCCCGATGTGGGCGCCCAGCAAGATTCCTTAACGACTGATGGTCCATGAGCAATCGCCCGAGCACTGTGCGTTGTCGCATCGGGCCCAGGGGCCAAGACGCGCGCGCGCCGCGAGAGTGCCGCGTCGGCCCAATTCTAAGCGGCGGGACATTCCCAAGAACTTCCCTCGGCGCAATTCGCTCAGCATATCGTTTCGCGCCCGGAGGGCGCGGGGGGCTCCGTTGAAAGATCGGGGCACCGAATTCAGCCAAGTTGCGCGCCTGCTCGGCGGGGGCGCTGGGGGGCCCTGGGGCCCCTGAGACGAGCGAGGGAACCCGGCGACGGTCAGCGGGGCCCCTTATCCGAGCGCCCCTGCGGAAGTCCAGGGGGCGCTTCGCGGCAGGGGGGGGGGCGGGGGGGCGCAGGCCGCTCGCGCACTTCGGGCCGCGCGCGCAGCCGAAGTCTCTGCGAAGGCCCTTGGAACTGGGCCTCGTTGACTGACGCGGCGAAAACCTTGGGATTGATCGGGCAAGCCAGTGGCCCGCGAAGTCGTCCACCCGCGGGGTGCTGGGCCGGCGGCCCCTCCCCGCCCGCCCCGCCGTGGCCGCCGTCTTCAGGGCGCAGGACTTCGCCTTCGACTCGCGCGCGCTCGCGAAGCCAAGGGTGCCGAAGACAGCGCGCGAGCCGCATCGGCGTGCTGCAGCGGGGCGGCGCGAGACGCCGACCTCCGGGCCATCGCGCGCCTGTGCGGCCCAGGTCGAGCAGGGGCCAGAAGAGCATCGCGCGCGACGCGCCAGGCGGCGCGCCGCGCGCGAGCGGCAAGACGCACTGTGATGTCAGATGGCCACTGGTATTCCCCCATCTTCATCGCCTGCTCGAACTTGCGCGTCAGCTCTTTGTGGGCCTCAGAGCGAACGGCAAAACTGGGAATGGGCGATGGCCGCTCGCGCTCGCCAGCAGATCTCGGCGCCGACGTCAATGTCTCGGCTGAATGATCGCCGATGCTTCTCCCGTCGAGCCCCGCGGGCTCAGCGAGATGACGGAAAGACCACCGGCAACCTAATGGCAAGCTTGGCAGTTCTCGAGATGCAGACCCCCGCAATCTTCGAATCTTCTTGCTGCGGTTCATGCCAGTGAGTCGGCAGAGCACCGCCATATCTCACGATCGTCTCCCAGGTTGCCCGCCAGCGCGACTCGCGTCGACGCCGACCGTGCGAAAGAACAGCCTCTTCTCGTCTCGGTGTAGTAGGTGCAGGGGCTCTCGACGTCGCCCCTTCGATGCCCCCGCCAGAGACGTCGAAGCCCCTCGCGACGCGCGCCGAGATGCGATGGGGGTAGCGCGAGCAAGATCGACAATGTGAGGAAAGCGCGACGCGACCACATTCGTGTTGGTGGTCTGCACATCGCTGTTATGTGCGCTCCAATGATACCACGCGTGCCCGCTGCTGGCAATGGTGGCCAGCATGGTTTTACCAGTCGCACGAATTTTATTTATTATGTCGATGATGCTCTTGCTGATCGGGGCGGTCGCGAGGTGCCCGCCGGCCTGGGGGGCCGCGGGCGGCGGGCCCAAGGGGAAATCTGAATGGGCCCTCCGCCCCGTCGCAGCCGGCGCGCCCAACGTCGAGCAGAGAGCGTCCTGCAGCGCCACCTCATTGACCTCATTCACCATGACCTTTTCTCTTATAGTGCGTCACCGACCGAATGTTCCACGACGCAAACACGATGGAGTCGACGCTGTCGAAGACCTTGGCGCCAGCTCCGCTGTATCTCTCGAGCCTCGCAGCCTGCTCGGCCATTTTTTTCCGTCTCCCCTTTGGTGGGGTGCGAGCTCGCCGACGCGTCGAGGTTTCACCTGTGCGCTGGGCGTTCAGTCGGATGCACCTCCGCCATGGGGGCCCATTTCCCGCGGCATCGAGATCGCCCCCTGATTTCGGCCGTGGTGGGCAGGGCGACCGCGCTTTGCACAGGGCGCGCGCAGGGTCCTCTTGCAGGTCGCGCGCAACGCCCCACTGGTTTTAGCGGGCCAGGGCATTGAGCGGAATTGCCGACCGCTGGGGTGAACTGCGGCGAATGACCTCCGCCGGCCCCGGGCAGGTCGAACGGCCGCCAGCGCAGTCCCGGATCTCTGCTCCACCGCCGCGCCCTGCAACTTGAAGACGAAAGGCCACCTGAGCTGCTCGCTTTGCAACTCCACTTCCTGACCGAGGGAGCAACCAGCGTCTGCAATTCATTGTCCCAAGCCAGCCAGC